GTCATCCTGAATTAATTCTTGTTATGATTTAATTTATTTATTAAACTTTTATGCTGCCCATCTTGCCAGAGGTGACTCTAGGTACCTTTAATGCTATAAGCATAATATTTATATATTTAGGTGGATTTAATGCGATACCCTCTTCTATACATACTATAAAGTAGAAGCTAGAGTTAAAAGAAGTGTGGCCAGGGGAAGTGTTAACAGGGAAAGCAACTTTCGATACTAATATTTCCCAATCTTTACATTTCAAAGAATAGCACTGTCTATAATTTTATTTCTGAAGGAGAATGTATTGACATTTTTTAAAAAGCAATTATGATTACCACTATGGGAACAAGACATGGGAGAAGGTCTAGTAGATTGTGAGCAATAATGCTAGTTCATAAAGTGATATTCTTTATGAAAAAAATAAAGAACATTGTTCAATAGTTTGTTAGCTGCATGTGACAAAGTCAGCCATATCTGCTAGTGTTCTCTTCCCAGGTACAGTAGGTAGCTAGGTCAGGGATAGGCAGAAGGTAAATTTGAATCTATTGATATATCACTATGTGGTTGTTAATATAACACAAAGTTCTGTAATATAACAAACATTTCTGTCTAGAAGGTAGAAGGCCCCACCCAGCAAAGTATCATTTATGTAGCACTTTTAGCATCACTTAACTCTCAGGGCAATGCTTGGAAAGGTAGAAGGAAAGAGAAGACAGTGACAAGTAGCAAAGTGAATGGCCTCAATTACAGCAGTGATGGGTGCACTACTGGAAGACCTGAAGGACAGACTGGGGACAGATTGTCCTGGAGGAAATCTATGTGTTCATTAAAAGCTGACACTAATTTAATGTACCTAATGAATCAATCAAATGTAGATGGACAATGTAAGATGTAAAATTTTTCTGCGTAATTTATGGACATTAATTCTTAGAATTCTTACCATTACTACTTTCCTAAGATACTACAATATAAGGAACCTAGCAATCCTCAAAATGTAATGTATATCTCATTTTATGACATATTCAGTTCTTCCTTTTAAATATAGACATTTAATTCTACTTCACTTTGACGTAATGCAAGGTTACATGTCATACTCCCTATCACTGGATGGGAAGTGCTGATGGGGGGAAGGAAAAAAATCCAAATTCTGTAATATTTATTGGTATTGAATAAAATTTCATTCTGAAGGAATTTCCATAAAATCTATACTCGCCATCTAGTTCAGTCTGATTTTAAATTTGTCATCAAAAAACACAGAACTATTTAAGTAATATTAAATTGATAACAGACACAAAACCAGGAATGCAGGAAAGAGGAACTGGCGATTTTAGCCCACCCACTCTACTCTTGCTTCAGATATAAAACACAGTTAACTGCCCACGGTGGCAAGACCAGTTCTGTCTATGGAGGCATCCTGACTTTCAGATCATTTTCCAAACTTCAGTTGCTATAGCAACTTAGGAAAGCTTTCTAGAAAAAGAAACAACATCACTTCTGAACTTCACCCATTCTACTTCATTAAAGTATACCAGCTGTTTATGTTTGCTTGAATTTTGAAAGGAACATGCACATAGTGTGTTACTCAAATCTTGTTTCTTTGTGGAAAAATAATTAAAGTCATCAATAAAGGTCACAAATATATTAATTTTCTGAGAGCAAAAAAATATCCTAATGTGTTTCCTCCTTCCCATGTAGAGCCTTCCTTTGTATTTTGATTGTATTGTTTTCTTTCACATCATTTTTGAATGTTATCAAAAAGTTCATTTCAGCTCTTATACAATACTAGTGTGAAGTTAATTGGCCTAAGATGTAATAAAGAAAAGCATATATTTGTGCATTATTTTTTAAAAAAGTTTTATTTGCTTTAAAAGCTGATTTGCATACTGATTTTAATCTTATATCTGAAAATGCCCTTTTCAGAAAAACTGTTGCATTGGTATACTTAATAATATAGGGTAGCTATTTCTCTGTGATTTTGAATAAAAAAACATGGATTTGACACTTTGGCTTTAAAAGAATAACTATTCCCCCCCCCCTTTTTTATAGCAAAATTCAAAGTATGTTTTTGTCATTGTTTCCTAACCTGAAGTCCTCCATGTGCTGAAGAGCGATTTCTTGCATTTCCAGCCAATGGTGTTGATCCTAATGAGTTAATGCAGTTGGAGAAAACTAGATTAGGAAAACTTTTTGTTTACTTCTAAATATACGCTATATGAAGATCTCGTATTACTGTGATTGATTTCCATTGTCTTTGAGGTAAACCCTTTGAATTAGTGACATTTAATTATGAATACTTATAGATTTGTGTTTTTAAATGTAACAGAAATAAATTCATTCAATCTTTCATTTAAGATGGGAGAGAAATGGGAGAGAACAAAGATGGTTTAGTGGATTATGTCTCAACTACACAATTAGTATTCTAAAATAAAATGTGAAATGATTCAGTTTTAAATAAGAGGATACAGTATGTCTAGATATATGGTCAATAGAATTCTTAGTCAGCATGGTCAATATTTTCATTTATTTGTTGGATTTATAATCTGCCCTATGCTAAAGGAGTTGAATGCAGCATACATAGTAATTTCTCCTCTATTTTCTTCAACAGCATTGGGGTTGAGGGAAAGTGGTTGGCCTAAATTTGGCCAATGAGTTTTCATGATCAAGGGTGAACTTGAAACTGGGTCTCCATGATTTTAGTCCAACACTTTCTCACACTTTCTGGAGAATATCAAATTGTGAAAGGTATTTGAAAGAAGAAAGAAGGAAGGAAGGAAGGAAGGAAGGAAGGAAGGAAGGAAGGAAGGAAGGAAGGAAGGAAGGAAGGAAAGACTTACCTATTGTTGAAACCACTGTGCACACAAAATAGAAAGCTCCTGTGAAGTCCCATCTTGGTCGGAGGGCATCTACTCTAATACCTGCAGCCATGGCTGCCTCATAGCTTCTTAAGAAGGCTTTCAGCTCAGGGAGACTAATATTGAAGATCTGGCTAAAGTTGTGAAGAGTCCAGTTCCAACGATGCTGTGCTTCTGCTTCAGATGGGCTCTCAATGGCTGAGAAGATGGTAGCTCCAGCAATCAGGTATGCCACAATGAGTACTGCTAAAAGGACAAACCTACCATTGTCCTCATTGAAATGTGACATGCAGCAGCAGCCTTTAAGTGTCCTGATAGACATCATCCAAATTTCAGCACCACAGAGGTGATGGAGAATGACCAACACCTCATTGGGGGGACTGGCATGGAGATATTACCCAGTTAAAGCATCCAATGGGGGGGGAGGGAGAAAGATCCTTCTTTTGAAGGGTTTCCCTTCTGAGTCATGGGTATTGGTTCATCGTGCTTATGTCAATGCACGCCTCCATTAACTGGTATTCCACTGAACTCCCCCACATCAGCCTAGGTATATCAATTTTCATAGAACTACTTGGGGAATTCTGTTGCCCCTGAAGCCCACTTCCAAGCATTGGCTGTAACTTGTAAGGAATAGGTTTTCTCTCCCATCTCAGATAGTTGCACTTGGCCATGTTTTTTGTAGTCTAGCCTTTATCCTGAGCAAAGACGTCCAGGTCTAGTGGAGAGAAAAAAATTCAGTCAAAATTAGTGTTGCTAATGTATGATACAGAGGGCCAATAAAATCTAGGATACTCCTCCTCCTAAAGGATGCCAAATGTTCGTTTCACCTCCCATCATTTCCTTTTCATGCTTGCCTCAGACTTTGCAATGAATCTCCTTCAGTTATATGTCACCAGCACAGCTCTTCTTTTCTGAGTCCTTTAAACACTATGCAGGTAGCATTCTCATATATTGAATACACTTAGAAAGCTACATGAGGTAAAGACTGAGCACTAAAGCTGCATTCAACACAATTTATAAAAAGGAGAGTAAATGCTCAGCACATTTAGTCAAATGTCACCATTTGACAAACACAGAAAATAGAAAAGGCTGGTTGGATAAATCAATTTAAATGTTGCTTTATCTAACAAGCTTTTTCAATTTTCTGTGTATTTCAACTAGATGAGTATTCATCAGCTTCATCATTGAAAAACCCTGAATCAATGAGACAACACCCATGTAACTTCATTTAGATCTCCACTGAATAAACTTGCTTTCTCTTTTTCTAAACACTTCCAATTGATATTTGTTCAATAAAAGATTTGGAAGTTTGAAATATTCAAGACTGCATTTGTTTGTGCTGCATATTACTTGCCTCCCTCCCCCCTCAGTAAAGTTATTCCTATCTCTTGTAAATCTGAATTAAAATGGGAAAACATTGCCCGTCCATATTCAATCACTACTGGATATGCAGTTTAGCATGAAGATAGCAGAAAGCATAGTGAAGTGAGAGGGTGAAATTTATCAAGACAGATACCGTACCTCCACCACCCCCCCCGCGCGCCCAGCATAGCCTTCCCCATATCAGTTCATTCCATATAGATGACAATATATGGGGGGGGAGCAAATGAAATAAATAAGATGCAGTTTGCCAAAGCATACTCTTCAGCATTTTTTAAAACCTTTCTTTAGAATCAGGCGAAGTTACCTTCTTGGGACTCTTCTTTCAACCTCCGCTTGAGTAGCTCTGATTTTGCCAAAGTCCCGGCCACCCATGCCAAGGCTCACAACCCCAACCTCATTTCCCTTGAATCTAATCATAAGCCAACACACACCATGTCCTTTTATTCACAGCAGTTCGGAGTCCTTCTGTAACATGCAGTTGTAAGTCCCAAACATGAATGACGGCTGGGGGGTGGAAGGGTGGGATGATCGCCTCCTTTTCTTGTACGGCTCGGTCGCGGTGATGGGAGAACCGCTGGGAAAGGAAGTGCGGCTGTTCAGCACCACGGATAGTGCACTGCAGCTCCGCGTGCGCCCGCGACTCCTCGCTCTGTCCCCGCCTATAGTTGAGCTTAGAGGGCTGGGCGGGAGCTGGGCCGCTCCAGCCTGCGAGTTGTTCAATAACCAACTCCGCCTTTTCATTGCCTTCTCGGCATTCTGTTGATTGCGGAACATGCAGCGGAGCGCTCAGCTCAAAACGGGAGGAGGTGGAGATTTATTTCTGCCTTGCCCATTAGTCGGGAAAGCTGTATGTTGCTGCTGCTGCCAGTTTTGATCGGCAGGTATTTTCGATATTCTCCCTTTTACGAGGTTGGTTGTGAAGTGGGCGAGAGGCTGATGCATTGCTGAGTGATGTCCAAAACCACAGGGAAAAGACCAGCCAATTCTGAAAGAGTCGCATTTTCAGATCCTGCAAAACGGGACCAAGGTTCGCCACTTTTCTTTCCAAAGAAAGTCTAGGAGACTTTTCAAATATTTTTCTGTCACATTATTTCTGTGACTCTTTTTCTGATTTAAAGAGATGTGCTCACATAGATGCTTGGGTTATGTGTATTGAAAAGAGTATGTTTCGTTCTCTATATAAACATGTAATATGTGTTCTTACAGAGATCATGGTTGGAAATGCAAAATCCTCCTATGTCCTTATTTCAAGTTTCAGCCAGAGCACCTAATATATGCAGATGTGGTGAACAAAACTCCCATCATGCACAAGGACACGAGGAAGTGATGAAAGTTGCAATTATTCTAGAGGATGCAATACACCATATTAGGGAATGTTTTTTTTGTTGTTGTTATTTGCTTAGTGACTTGTGCCTTCAAGTCAATGTTGATTCCTGGCTGAAGGAAGCCCCACTGTTTGTTGTGTACAATAATAATATTGTTCAAGAGATATGGTCACTTTTGTACTTTGAAACAATGCAACAATGGAAAAGAAGTAATTTGTGCACGTTGGTCTTCAGTTCTGAAACATCTTTCTCAATCTGTTTAAGATGTACTTAGGCAATTAATAAATCAAGACTTATATCAAACACAAGAACTATAGCCATTTTTTTCCTCTTCATTTTATTCTTAGACTCCTACGAGGTTGGTTAGTTAAGGAAATAGGACGAGGAACATACCAGTAGTTAAAAGGACATGAGCTAGTGCAGTCATAATTTGAACTGAGATTAATCCAGGTTTAATTTAAGATCTAATCATATGCCTCATTAGTCTATATGCCAGAAGTGCTACCCATGAAGTTTGGATTAAAAGGTTCATAAGTTCTTATTCTTAGCCATGGCAGCTGATTCCACATTTTCCCATAAACCAATTCCTTCTTTGCTTCAAGTTGGATCCTCTCCTATACCATCTGGCTTTCTTTGGCAGACTAGACATTCCCTAAAGTAGAAAGAGTAGATATAAAAACAACAACAATCCAGAAGTGCTTTGAAAAGTTGTTCTTGTGTTTCAACAATGGAATGAGAAAATAATGCCAATGAGAAAAGATACTATTTCTGTAATGTGTCTGCTTGTCCCCACCATTGTTTAAAAATAATATCACACAGGAGTCAAGAACAGACAGTGCTAACATGCCTGGGCAACTCCAAAACAAGTAATCCAATTTGTATTTCTTTTCCACGAGGGTGTCCTAGAGAAATAAGCAGCAGAGATCAGGAGCTACAATAGGCAATGGAAGGCACAATGTTGTGGGAATTACATGGCTCTCCATATGAGTTCCCTGGGTTTTTAATGAAACATAATTCTCCTTCCCTGTTGAATGACAACAATTTTAAAATGAATTTCTATAAGAAACTTTGTGAGGAGGTAGCCTTGGCCTCTGGATTATAGATTATCCTGGTCAACAAGCCAGTCAAGAGACCTTTTAGAGACAGCCTCTCATTGACTCACGTTTTCATGTTTTGAATTGTTTGCCTGAATCAATTCTTCCTCTCACTCTTCTAAGAATGGAAAATGAATCCCTAGGGATCAAATCAAAACTACCTTGAAGCCTTCTGGATGCTTTGGACTGTAACTCTCATCATCTCCAGTCAATTTGACTAAAAGCAATGGGCTATGTGATATTATAATATAATATAACAGAATCAGGGAATGTAGTAAATGTGGGCCATGATTCTATTTAATGATCTCTTTTACAATGAAGAACAAGACAAAACTTAACACAGCTGGAGGAAAGACCATTGTCTACTTTCTCCTGTGCTGTTTTTCTGTTTGCAGGGAGATGTCCTCATAAGTAAATATTTTTAAAAATTACTCTAGCCAGCAGTCTGTAACAAGACCGTCTATTTTAGCTTTCTGCAACCAAGCTGGCTGAACATTATGGAGCTGAAATTTAACACGTCCAGAGGGTGTCAGATTGGGGAAGGTGCTCTATTCTCTTCCCTCATTCTGATGTACGCATATACCTGCACTTCCTTGATTATAGTTCTGAAAATAAATCCAAAGGTTGGCTTGCTCTTATCATAGAGTGAGTAACTGTGTAAACAAGCTTTGGCTAATCAAATGTTATAAGAGGTTTCCTCTGGCTACTTGGATAAATGAGGTTATAGAGTACAGACCAACAATAATGTAGAATTAACTGGGCCATATCCATTACTAATCAGGTTGAGTCTCAATCTGCAAGAAATATTCTGTCTCTTCTTGGCTATTTTTAATCAATCACCTTATTTAAACATGTTTTAATGAAGGACCAATCATAAGCAGAACAGAAGCTCAATTTCCTGAGTTTATATACACAGTGTTGACTTTATTATTATTAAAAAAAAGAAATAGGCCTGGTCTAATGAAGGCAAATTGTTAATGGAATAATAAATAGTATTAGCTATTTGGAACAATGTGCTTAGGGAGTGAGGGAGAGGGAACAGGAGAGGTGTGCATGTGTGTGTGTGTGTGTGTGTGTGTGTGTGTGTGTGTGTGTGTGTGTGAGAGAGAGAGAGAGAGAGAGAGAGAGAGAGAGAGAGAGAGAATGGACGTGCATTCATAAAATCTTTAATTAAATAACCAAAGTAGATCAATCCCAGAACATCATGTACTGCTTAAAAAATGCAAATTTCTGATTGCCATTTTTTAAACACATGCATTAACATCATTGATAGGTGGAATTTTCAAGAAGCCATATTTCAAAGTCTGACAGATAAGGTTAGAGCAAAGACTTATTAGACTAGACTTCAAGCTTGCAAGGATATACTTCCCGGACTACTCACTTGAGTTTGTTTCAGAGTTTACAGACTGAGTTTACAGATAACTCATGATTTCTTTAAATACGGATTGCTGAATAAACCAAAAGCAAATTTGACTAGTTCATACAACATGCTGAGTGGTTAAAACTATGGTTGCATTGCAGAACCTGCAATGACTGGTTTACAGAACATATGTCAAAACTGAGCAAACTGCAGTTTGACTTAACATGTAGAATGATGTATTCTGGCGATAGCTTTCTCCTATGAAACTCATCCCCAATATTCATCATTCCCTTTCTTTTCCAGCTGATTCTTAATATGGAATACATAAACTCTTATGGGGAAGGTCTCTTTACCTACTGTTGCAGTATCCACTTGTCTGATACTGACCTCCCTTGAAATTAATTAATATTTACAGACAATAAAACCATAAATATCATCTCTCCTAGTCTCAGTTATATGAGTTTCCCAAATAAGCACCCATCATCTCTCTCAATGCAAACATTATAATAATAATAATAATAATAGTAGTAGTAAAGTTGGAAGGGACCTTGGAGGTCATCTAGTCCAACCCCCTGCTCGGGCAGGAAACCCTACACCATTTCGGACAAATGGCTGTCCAGTCTCTTCTTAAAAATTTCCAGTGTTGGAGCATTTACTGCTTCTGGAGGCAAGTGCTAAGTCATAATACGGCTTGTTTAAATTTGGCTTAGTGGATACATTTTTATGAGATGCTTAACTGAGTCATTTAAAGCCCAGCATGTTAGCCAAATCGATAACTCTGATATCTAAATTCTGACAAATGGAGATTAACTTATTAATTCCTCAATATATGTTCTCACATTAAATAAGACAGATACAGATACACCAATAACACTATCATTTATTAATATATATTGTAGTTTTCAGAAAAGTGTGGTATTTATCTTACATTGCCATTTTTTCCTGTGAGTGTCAACATCTATTACATTTCAATAGTTTAACATTAAAATAAACTCTTTAGGTTACATTATCTATGAGTTATCAAATAAAACATTGCTCCCAGAGTGAGTGGATTGTTATTAAATTATGAGCTCTACATTTTGCCTATCAAAGGACTCCTGCAGTGAAGATATGAATATAACCAGTGGAATAGAAATCATGGGCGCTCCATTCATTGGAGATTTTTAAAAAGAGGCTAGATAGTCACTTGTCTGAGATGGTATAGGTTCTTCTGCTTGAGCAGGGGGCTGGACTAGAAAGCTTTCAAGGTCCCTTCCAGCTCTGTTCCTATTCTATTCTATTCTATTCTATTCTATTCTATTCTATTCTATTCTATTCTATTCTATTCTATTCTATTCTATTCTATTCTATTCTATTCTATTCTATTCTATTCTATTCTGATGGGCTCCTTAGGAAGACACTGAGTTGTGATGTCCTCTCCCATTTGCTACTTAGAGCACTGAGGAGCTGACATCCATTTGCCTTAGTCTAGCGTGGAGGCAGGCAGTGTAAAATATTCCTGGACCATGAGTTGCTATTCGATTCTCAGGCAGTGGCTCCAAAAGCAGAAATGCTTTTGTCCACCATCCCAACTGCATAATTTCCTGTGCATTGCACCCAGATTACTATGACATGCTTGTGAGGGAATGAAGAGGGGGTTACTGTCTGCATTTGGGGAAAACAGAAATGCTCCCCATCCTACTTTCTCAAGGCTCAGCTCAGCTCTGCATAGCTCAGTTCAATGCTTGCTGTTTCTCAAAGGGTTGTAAACCCTGAGGGTAAATGGACTCATTTATCTATTCATTCATGCACTCCCTTTGTAGTGTCCTCACAAGCCTCTATGCTGGTGTTCCAGATCTCTGGCTAATTGAGTCACACTGTGGTGTTTTTATGAACTCGCCAAAATCCATAGATAGCCTCAGCCCACACAAGTGCTTAGCTTATAAAAGTATGTGTATACAGGAGAAAAGAAGGAGAAGACAACAAGCAAGACAAGGATGTTGGAAGTGGTGTCTGAGAATTTATGTGGTGTCTGGGAACTATTACAAGCAAGCAAGAATGCTCTTAGTTAATTGCCAGAAGTACAAGCAGCAGCAAGCCTTCCATTGTGGTGTGATTCCTGCTGAAGCTTGGCTTAGAGTTTGGCCTGGAGTTTGGTAGTAACCTACTGCTTGGTGAGCTAGAAAGAGGCAGAATAGACAACATCACCACCAGATGGATCTGTAGCTGGCTGACAAACCGTACTCAACGAGTAGTCCTCAATGGCTACATGGAGAGAAGTAAGCAGTGGGGTGCCACAAGGCTCCATCTTGGGCTCAGTATGCTTTAATATCTTCATAAATGACTTAAATGGGGGAATAGAAGGGGAACTTGTGAGGATAATTAACCAATGGAACAGCTTGCCTTCAGGGGTTGTAGGTACTCCATCATTGGAGGTTTTTAAGAAGAGCCTGGACAGTCACTTGTCTGAAATGGTATAGGTTCTCTTGTTTGAGTGGGGGGCTGGACTACAAGACCTCCAAGGTCCCTTCCAGCTCTATTCCATTCCATTCTAATCCAGTCCAGTCTAGTCTAGTCTATTCAGCTGAGGTAATACCTAACTCCAGCCAGCGGAAGAACGTTTGGAAGGAGGCAAAGGTTGTATGCCACTTTACAGACTCTGAGACTTTTGTTTGTTTTAAGATTGAGTATTAAAGACGTATTTATGTCACTCATCAACTTTCAAGGCCCCAAAGGGAGGAGCTAACCCAGAATAACAGCCTATTGTTGAGGAAGGTATGTGCCACAATGAAGCATTGTGTATACTTACTGTAACTTTTAGGTTATAGTGTGTTCAGCTCTTGGCAAACGAAGCTTCACAATGCTCTCTGTGGAATCACCTTTGAAAAGCATTTGGAAGCTGCAATTGGGAAAAAAAATGCAGCAGCTAGAGTAATAATTTAAACTACATTTGGGGTGTGGGATAGGGGATGTGATTCCTCTATCACACACCTATCACTGACTTCCTGAATCAATACATTCATTTCCAAGCTAAATGTACCTTTAAAAGCCATAAATGATTGAATCCAGGATGTGTTTGTAAGGTTGGGCCAGAAAAGCAATAGCCATCTGGTACTGATAAGGTAATTATAAGACTTGGTATGAGAAATCTATAAAACATGGTACTTCTACAGCAAAGGCACCAATTTCAGCTCCAGAGGTGAGAAAGCCTAGAACAGAAATTCAGCTGACGATGTGCCTAATGCAATGTTTTTCAAATTCACCAACTTTAAGATATGGTAAACTTCTAGAATTCCCCAGGTGGCTGGGGAATTTTGGGAGCTGAAGTCCACTTAGCTTACAGTTGCTGAGCTTGAGAAACACTGTCCCAATGGGACAGAATCACACGGGAGAAGCCGTTGGCGATTCTGACTTGAAAAGGGATGATGCAGCAAAGCTTCTGAAACTTAAAAAATGCTGCCATTCTGTGCCTCTTTAAACTGTTTCCCAGAGAACATGTTATGTGCAGTGCACATAAAAGCTGCAGCTCCATGTTCCTGGTAATTTCAGCTTTGCATTTTTCATTATCAGCTTCCTTGTAGTCATTATTTTTTTTAAAAAAAATATATCCATACCCAGTTATGTGAAACAGTCTGTTACAATAATCAAAGAAGACTTCCGGAGCCTGACTGCCTGCTGCTATGTTGGGGCAACGTTCTCCAGAATTCCCAGCTATCATAGTCAGTGACTGGGAAATCTGGGAACTGTAGTTCTGGCACTCCTGGTGGTTGGGGAAGATTGTTTAGTGGATCTATTCTGTAAGAACTTTTATTTATTTTTTTTTAAAAAAAACAGTCATTTATATAATCATTTCCCCGTCATTTTCCTCTTACTAGATAGAGGCCAAAACCATGATTTCACTTTCTTGATTTTTTTCTTTTGCCATTTTTAGAGAATGGATTAATTACTATGAGGATTTCATAACCTCTTTCTCTGTTCCTTTATAAACACACAATAGAGTATCATCTGATGTATTGCTGGTAATTACATCTTCATGAGCACTGATGATTTTTCTAATTCTGTTCATTTATCTCCTACAGATTAAGAAGTAGGTCCAGGAACAGCAGCAACATTGCTTAAAAATGTCAAAACATTGTAGTCAGCTGGGACTGGAGTCAACCACTAATCCAACAGAGAAGATTGCTGCTCCATCTACAACTTGTGCCAGACTCTGCATGGAAGCTGTCAGCTGTCAGCTGAAATCAGTGTGAAGGAAAGGCAGGTGATCTAGAAAATGAAAGGTCAGCAACGTTTGAAAAATTATATAAGAATTGCCCCACTTATATTGCTTCTGAATTTTGTAACATTGCTGGTGGAGAACAGATTTCTCAAGGGCTTTGAACATCCAAAGAGGAAGAATCAGAGTTTTGGCCATAAGAGTTTCCACAGTATGTCAATGGCCTTTGCTTCAACTCAGGGCATTTCTAGAAAGGATCTGGTAAGACTCCTGCCTGAAACCATAAAAACATAAGTTTGGGAAAATAGGCAACTACAATAGATGGATCAATTTTCTGTTTGGTATAGGCAGCTTTCTATGTTTCTCAGGTCTCTCCAAGAACTTTATTTAGTGACCTCTTTCACTGGAGAGCTGAGAGTATGTTTGGCTACCCAGAATGCTAAGGAAATAGGGAAGCAGGAAAAGGTAGAATGAAGAGGATATTTGAAAAATGCTTGAATTGTTTGGGAATGGGATGTTGACAGGAATGAATCAAACTCCTCCTGATAGGCCTTAATGAGAGTGGAGCCAGAAAGGGGCTAAATGAAAGGCCAGAGTATGAACTTCTTAAATTTCCCAGGTCACGGTTGGGACTAGGAGAAGAGGGTAGTTGGGTCGGTGGCAGTGGAATTAACATTGACATTATTAAGTTCAGGGGAGTGGTTTGGGGGAATGGAGTAGAAGTAATTGAGGGTGTATGGAGATGGATACAGAGGAAATAGGATGGCTTAGTAGTAGGAAACCCTATGTGAAAATGGGAGGGAATGGGAACAAGGGGAGAAGTGAGGATTCAGAGGAAGCTTGCATCATTTCATCATTAAAGAGGCAAAAAGAGAGAGAAAGTGGGAATGAGTCTCTTTTGGGGAAAAGGGATTGGCTGTCTGATACAACCCTCCTTTTTTAGCCCTCCGTCCTCAACTCTAAGACCAGATAACTAGACTCTCAGATTGGTCTGCTCCCTTCTCAACAAGCCATAGCTCAATCTAGCCATTATTGACAATTATTGATTAGTTTCCAACTTTTCATTTAGAAAATGTTATGGGGAAAAATATTGGCCGATGGCTGCAAAGGGCCTTGGAAAAAACAAATTACTGACCCATTTTAGTCAGGTTTCAGACACATGGTCCGCATGGAGACAACACTGATTACATTCCAAGAATCTCTGGAGTGTAATCAATACATTCTGGATAGGGCATATGTAACTCTCCTGGTTCTGTTTGATCTCTCAGCAGCTTTCAGTACCATCAGTTGTGGTATGCTTGTGAGCTGTCTCTGAGGGCTAAGGGAGGGGGCCCACTATTCTTCGGTGATTTTCCTTCCTGAAGGAGCAGTTTCAGTCCATAGAGGGAGGATGGAAGAGATGGCTTTCTAGGCCCCTCAATTATAGAATATTTCCAGCCTTGATGATCTCCCCACTCCATTTCAACATCTATGGGAAATTGCTGGGTGAGATCATTTTATTAGCATGGGCAGACTCTCTGACATTTGCCCAGTGAGTTTCACAATCTCTGCATTGCCTATAGAGATTTTGGAATGTGCTATTTGTGGCTTGTGTCTCATTCTTCTGTTAAAATTTGTTTAGTAAGCGTCACTTTGGAAAGCAGAATAAGAGAGGCAGAGATTTATTTTTGTTGATTTTTCTTGATCTGGTTTGCTCTATGTGTGCTTTGTGTGTGATGCTTCATCTTTCCCAAATCGAAACACTTTCATCATTCCTTAAACTCTCAGTCTGCTTGTCTGACATGCAGTATAGTCCTTATTTATCTCTTGTCAAGTCTACCTGCTAGTTTTCTTTTGTTTCAGGGCTTCTTCTTCTTCTTCTTTTTTTTTTTTTGTATATTTTATTGATTTTTTAGAATAACAAACTTTAGTGCTTAATAAACAAAGTGTTGTCTGGGTTCATATATTTAACAACGGTCAGTAGTTTCTATACTTTCATAATCAACATATTAACTAGAAATACCTCTTGTCAAGTCTACCTGCTAGTTTTCTTTTGTTTCAGGGCTTCTTTTTATCCCCTTTCAGGTCCCTTTCATTCTCACTTCAATTAAATTTAATTCTCTTTTTTTAAAAAAAAAAAAAAAAGTTGTTTTCTTTCTGCTATTAGTCTGTCTTGTCCTTGTCTGCTTTATTACTAAATTTTCTTCTTTAGTGAGTCTGATGTAGTGTAATTAAAGTTAGATTATTATATATAGTACAGATTAATTATTCATATGCTTATATCATATGTATAGCTTATTTTAAAACAGTTTTTGGAAGTTTTAGTGGATCATTTTCTGCATGGGTTCAGCATAACTTCTCTATGAATTTTTAGTTGACTGCTGTGCTATGCTATTCTTATTCTTGCTTTCACTGCCTCAAAAGAGGTCCAATAAAATGTTTAAATCTGTTGTTGTGAAATCTTTCAAGCTATGTAACCAATTTTTTCTGAATCAATGCTACCAAAAGAGTTTGATAACAGGTGTTTTGATGCCTCCTTCTTATAGCCTATAAATATTTTTGTGCAAAATATTTTATTAAATTAAATTTTGAATCTTCAATCTGTTCAGATTTAGTTCTGTTGTCTTCAAAGCTTGACCAAATATCCAAATCTAGACTGAATTCAGACTGAATATTGGCAGATCTGAACATCCCTACTTAAATGGACCTATGGTATATCCTAACAATATTTCTAATACTGTTGATTGCTTACCAGAGTCTCCTGAGGTCTGTATAGATGTTATGTTTTAAAATATTACCGTTTTCCCTGCAACCATTTTATAAATTGTTCTTAAACTTGTATTCTGTATTTCAGTCATACAACACCAAGGATAGCTTTTCTAAGATCCATATAAAATGTATTGAATAATTTAATATAAATCTTGAGAATTAAAAAGAAATAAAAGGCCTATACATTTAATAAATAAATAAATCCCCAATAATATAGAAATAATTAGTCACATTAGATGTTTGGATAACCAGCTGCTCCATCTCTCTTCACTTGATGGATAAAATGTTTTATATACATTCATTTATTCATTCATTCACATTCATTCATTTATTCTAGTGCAATGGTTAAAGTTAAGATTTGTGCAATGCAAATCTTCCTGCCACCACAAAGCTCCCTGGATACTTAGGCCAATCACATATATGCATAAACTGTTTCTTAGTCCCATCCCTCCGACACAATTCTTATATGCATGCAGTGACAAAAAACTCCGATGTGTGCCCCTTTGGGCTTTCAGAAGAAAGATTGGGTATGAATGTAACAAATAATCAAATACAATCGGGAAAGGTTTAAGATGTTACTAATTCAGTGGATTCAAGCTTCTTATTCAAGCACTCTAGCCTTCTGTAAGACTGCATACTCTATTTACTACTTTCTTTTTCTCTGCCCATAGTTTGATCTGTCTTGTCTCATATTAAGTTACTTACTCACACACACACAAACACCATTGACATTGATCTTCAAAGATAAAGGTTACGCCACCTTTGTCTTCAAGGGTATAATGGGTGAGATATGAGTACCCATTTAGAACTGCTTCACACAAGCTTGTTCATTGTTCTCACTCCTCTGAAATATCCTATGCCCATTTGTCTCATCATTCATTTGGAAGAACACCAAAATTCTGGTTATCTTGACTAATTTACATATATATATATATATATATATATATATATATATATATATATATATATTTTCTGAGGTTTTCGCGGGTATTTGTATATAGGTCTTTGGTTGTTCGGGTTTTCTCCCGCGTAAAATTGGAAGTGTCTTGGCAACATTTCGACGAAGTCACATTCGTCATCTTCAGGCTGGTGTTTTTAGCTTCTTGCTTTGAGCAGCAATGTGTGGTTTTAGCTGTTTCTTCCTTTTAACTGCCAGTGGGGGTATGAACTGATTGGATGGGAGCTTGGCTGTGTTCTGATTGGGTGGAGGTGTGTTCTGAATGGTTAGGGGCTTGGCTGTGCTCTGATTGGCTGGGGGAGTGTTCTGTTTGGTTGTGCTCAGGTTAGTCTGAGTTGCAGAGGGGTTTAAGATTTTGGGGTTAGGGAGTCGTTTGTCAATAAGGGCAGGTTTCCAAATGGCTGGTAGGCAGGAGGTATCATCTCGCTTGTTCATGCTGTGTGGGCGTTTTTCTATCTCGATGGCTTCTCTGATTATTCTGTTATTAAAATGTTCACTTTTGGCAATGGTTCTGGTATTTTTAAAGTCAATTTCGTGTCCTGTGGCTTTAAGGTGTAGTCAGCTCCATAGGCTCACCTCTACAAAACCTAGCCAAATTCTCGCCAAACAACTACAGCCCTATGCAGAATCCATCACCTCACACGTAAAAAACTCATTCCAGTTTATAGAGATCATAAAGAAACAAAGCTTACAGCCCAGCGACCTACTAGTGAGCTTCGATGTCATATCCCTCTTCACCCAAGTGCCTATCAAAGAAGCCTTGACAGCTATTCAAAACAAATATAACCCCCCAAACACATCTTAGATCTGACCAACCACTGCCTATCCAACACATACTTCATCTATAATGGACAAAAATACAAACAAACAGAAGGAGCACCCATGGGATCACCCCTCTCACCTGTCATTGCCAACCTCTACATGGAACACTTTGAAACCCAAGCTCTAGAAAAATCGGATCACAAACCCAAACTCTGGCTCAGATATGTAGACGACACCTTCATAATCTGGCCACATGGGAAAGAAAAACTGGACAACTTCCTCACACACCTCAACAGCCTACACCCCAAAATACAGTTCACCATGGAAACAGAAGCTAACAACCAACTTCCCTTCCTGGATGTCTTAGTCTACAAGAAATCCAATGGCTCCCTAGGACACACCATCTACCAGAAGAAAACACACACAAACCGCTATCTGCACGCTCTCTCACACCACCACCCAGCACAGATCAACTCTGTAGCCAAGACACTCATCTCCAGAACAAAACGCTTAGCTGACGAACAACACCTAAAACCCGAACTACACACTCTCACCAATGTACTAACATCCAATGGATTCCATAGAAATAAGATTAC